ACTTGTTCTATGATAGATTACAGATTAGTTTAAATGGTGGTTGAGTTTTTTCTTATAGATAAATAGAATAATCATAAAAAAATACTTTGGAAGAATATTTTTATTTTTATTTTTTCAAAAACGTCTTGATAATCTTAGTATTGGCTTAGAATACTATTTGGATTTTTTTTCTATCAACAATAGGTATAATGTATGTAATAAAAATTAGTATTTTTTAAAAAATATACATGAAAGCTTTTGTATTTATCAATAATAGTTTGGATATATCAGTCTTATGGATTTCTACTTGCCTAGCAAAATCTTAGGCTAAACTATGGAAAAAATCAAGATTGCAAGAAATCCAATCTATTTGAGGTTTATAACTTTTTTAACCATAATAATTCTAAAATAATTGGATTATAAAGAAATCTAATCATATTAAATATTATTAAATTATTATAAGTACTACTTACTATTTTTATATAAATAATTTTATATAAAATATCCTTAGAAGACAACAAACAATCAACTATTATTTCTACATATACAAATTTGATTTTTTTAACCAAAGTTGTATCTTATTTTTTGACAAAATCTTCATCTATAAAATAGATTGAGGTTCCTAAATCCAACAAGGCTAAGACTTTGTAATTTTTTAGTCCTAAACAAATTTCTATTATAGAAGAAGGTGAGGGATTTTAGGAGAGAATATAACCTTTGCTAGGAATTACATAAGATTTCAGGCACACAATTCTTATTGTAGCTAGAGAAACTTGTGTTTTAATACATTATCGTCTTTGGCAACCATGCTCCTCATTTTGTGATTGTATTTTATTTTGGACAATGTTGAGTACTGTATTTGGATTTTCTATAATATAAGCACAAACCTTCTTAATGATAATAAGTCTATTCTTACTCAATAAGAGATTTAAAACAAATCATATCAATTTGTATTGGTTTTGGCCTTGATGAATAAATTTTTGAAAATTTGGGAGCTTCTATCATTACTTGATTTGTTTCTCTTCAACCAAATCTTTATTTTGAATGTCTTTCAAATAATTAATTATTGCATGCAATGTCTTGAGTAATAAATTATTTTAAATATTTTTCTTTTGGCATTGTTAATAATAAATCTTTGACATTGTCCTTCAGCTCATATTAAAATTGATTAATAAAGACTTTGTTATTCTAATCCATGTTCCAAGCAAGGTTTTAGAATTTAGTAACATATATAGTCGATGATTATGAACTTTGTTGTAAAAATGAGAGCTTCATCTCTACTACTCTTTTTTAGTCACTTTCTCCAAATGTGACCATAAACACTTCTAGGAATGAATTCAAAACATAAAAGAGTTTTGAATTCTTTTATATCAATGTTACAAATCAAAAGAAATTACTTTGAGATAGAAATGTGCCTATAAATCCAATTTGAGTAAATCCATCAACATATTGGAAGAAACACAACTTTAGATATAGCTTGACTTATTCGAAAAATCTTTGAAAATTTGATCTTCTTAAGCATATTAATCCTTGTCTCTATTTTACTTATAAAAACAAAACATCTTAAATTTGATTGTGAAGTCAATCTACTTGTTTCTTTCAACTATACAACTTCTTGATCCAAATTATAAATTTCTTCCATAGGCTATAGATTCGTCCAAATGGCAGTTGAGCTCTTACTTGAAGATCAATTGAAAAATCATAGGAATGATATTTTAGAAGAATATTTATATTCTTCTTTTCAAAAATATCTTGATAATCTTAATACTAGCTTGTAAATTTTCTTGAAATCTTTCTACTACTAAAAATAAATATGGCATATATTACAAAAAATGATTTTTTTTGCATCATGCATGAAATTTTTTGTATCTACCAATAAAGGTTTAATTATTTTAGACTTATAATTTTTTTACTTTGATAATAAAATTTTAGATTAAACTAAGGAAAAAATTAAATTTACAAGAAATTTAATCTATTTGAAGATTATATATCTTTAGCTATAACAATTCTAAAATAACTTGATTGGAGGAAAAATTAATCACATTAAATATTACTTAATTTTTCTATTTATTAATTCCTACATCTAAAATAATAGTTTTATAAGTAATATCTTTTGAAGACAATAAAAAACCATATATAATTTCTATATGTATTAGTTTGATTGATTAAAGTTATTTTTTATTTTTTTAATAAAGTCTTTATCTATAAAATAAACTAATACTAAAAAATCTAATAAAGCAAAGAATTTTCAATTTTTTTGGACCTAAATAAACATCTATTATAAAACAAAGTAAGAAAGTTAGACAATATTAAGTATTTTATTTTGATTCTTTATAATATAATTATAGACCTTTTTAACAATATTAAATTTTTTCTTGCTTAGTGAGAACTTTAAAATATATTTTATCAATTTACATAGGTTTTGATCTTGATGAATAAGTTTTTGAAAATTTAAGAATTATTGTTATAACTTCATTTATTCCTCTCTAATTAAATCTTTATTTTAGATATCTTTCAAAAAGTCAATTGTCACATGCAATGATTCAAGTAATAAATTATTCCAATAAATCCGCTTTTGGCATTGTCAATAACAAATCTTTAATATCATCTTATAATCCATATCAAAATTGATTGATAAGGGCTTTATCATTCCAATCTATGTTACAAGCAAGATTTTAGAATTCAATAATATATATAGTAGTTGAACGTGATTCTTATTGTAAAAATAGAAATTTAGTCTCAACCATCTTTTTTTAATCACTTTTTTTATATGTAGCCATAAATACTTTCAAGAATGAATTTAGATCATAAAAGAATCATGAATCTTTTTCCATCAAATATGCAACCAAAAAAGAGCACTTCCATGAATCTAACTTAGGTAAATCCATAAGGGTATTGAAAAAGATGTAATCTTAGATAGAACTTGATTTGTTGTAGAAGCATTTAAAATTTTAATTTTGTTCTATCAAAAAAATTGGCATACTAATCCTTGCCTCTGTCATTCTTGTAGTAATAAGAATTCTTAGATTTAATTATAAGATAGATTTATTTGTTTCTCTTAATTACACAACTTATTAGTGTAGGCTTTAAACTTCATAATAGATTTCTTTAATGAGTGAAGGAATAATACCTCTATGGTTGGTATTAGTAGTACATGAGATTTCTACTCTAAAAATATTAATAAGCTCATAAAGATTTGAAATAGTTGCAAATCTATTCTTATTTCTACAAAGTATAGCATGCATAATTTTTTCTTCTATCTCTATATATTAAACAAATTAGAAAAACCCACAAATCAAATTAGAAGAGGATAAACTTTAACCTCTAATATCAAATAAAAATTTCAACAAAGAATGATAGTTTATTCTCTTTGAAGAACGAATCAATATTAGAAAATAAAAGTTTTAGTTTAAAGGTGGATAGTTTGCAACCTTTTAAACACATTAAAAGAAGTAGAATAATCCACTCACTTTTAAAACATAATAAGAATAATAAATTAGCACTTTTGTCAAATTGTCAAGGATATAAATCACACATAATGAAAATCTCAATAGACTCTTGTGTCTCCCAAAAAGAATAGATAATTACTCAAAGATGGTATAATATTAAACAAGAATGACTATCACCAAATATAGGAAGACTAAAGACTCTTAAAAGAAGACTTAAAACAAGAAATACATTCATAAGAACAACACCACCATAGGCCACTATAGTTTTTGCTAATACCACCACAATTTATTTTTATTAATTTTTTTATTATTTTTTATTAATTCTTTATGAATTCATATTATATATATATATATATATATATATATATAGTAATCAAATACTATAAAAAATAATCATATTAGCAGATACTATAACAAATATTATTTGTATGTTATTACAGGTTTAAAAAAAATTATATCATCTATGTAATTTTCTTCCAATCAATTATACCAATTTTTATAAACAAGAGTAAAAAAGAATCTTAAATCTCCATATAATCTGATTTCTTATGTATCATTTTGTGATCAACTTTCTTTGTCACCATACATTTTTTTATTAGATAAATATGTATGTGTAAATTTAGAATAAAGATTCTATTGTATAAATTTCATCATACTTGTGACTCCTTCTACAAATATAATATGAAATCAGAAAGACAATTCTAAATATCTGAATTGACTTTTTGAAATCAATAATTTTCAGAATCTACAAAGTATCACAATTTATTTAAAACTTAGAAAAATATTTATTAGAATTAAATTTTTTGTACCAAATTATAAAAAATAAATTCTACAAATGTTTGCAAACCAAGTACATTCAAACAAGTAAAATTGCACATGTCTCTAGATAAAAATATTTTTGTAAGACATGCAAGTGGTTTTCAAAAGACAAAAAACACCAATTTGAATCCACTTACAATATACATAGCATTGAAATGTTCACAAAATGATCATCTTTGAATCATTTTGTGACCATCTAATGAAATGTCTGATAAGTGTTTCATGTTAACAATTTTAAGTGTGTGCTTGTGTTGAATATTAGGTAATTAGTTTGATGATAATTGTATGAAAGTGTAAAGTAATGCAAATTAAATGGAGTTAACAAGACACCCAATAAACACATTTCAAGGAACATAAATGTAAGTTATCACCATCCAATCACATCTTTTTTTCTTTCCAAACCACATTAATATTTCTTCACCAACACACCACATATACTTTCCTTCAAAAACCCAGGTAGTGTTGAAACCACAAGGATTGAAAGAGCTATTATTTGCTTGGTGCAAAATGTCAGATAAGGAATACTATAATTATACACGACCTTACGTAAACATTATAAAAAGAAACCACGACGGGGTATTTATACCACGGTAATAGGGGAGATTCGGGATTGGGATGCAGCAGTGGATAGACGATCGAGGAATCTCGGGTCGGGCCGGGTGGTGTCGGGGGTCCCATCCGGGATCTCAAGCCCTTCAGAGCGGGTGTGCCCATCCTGCCCTCTCCTGCCCTACCCTGTACTTCCCTGCCCTGCCCTGCCCAGCCTCGCCTGATCTCACCTTGTTTAGAGTGTGTGTGTGTTGGGGAGAGTGTGAGTGAGTGTGCGTTGCCCTCCCGAGTCGCGCATGGCGGCCCCGCACTCTGCCAATTTGCACATCGTCAAGCGTGCGAGGTTCTTTCCTACGGAGGGCGTGCCCTTACAGCGTTTCCTCGTCTCCTTCTGGTGAAAAATTCCGGGACCAATTTTGAGAACTATCACTAAATTTTGGCTTGGCGGCGTGTTTGGGGTGAGTGCTTCTCCAATTGCTTCTCACGGTTTGTTTAATTTCCGTGCTATTAGTTCCTGAGATGTCGTGGTTGCTTCGAGTGAGAATTCAGAGGTGTTTCTGCGCTTTCGTTGCTGAATTATGGACTTTTTCGTGGTATTTCCGTGGCATTGTGTGTCTTAAGTCGTTGTGGGACTGGACGAGGTTTTTTTTAGAGGTTTTGGGAACCGTGTCTAATTGTTGAGTTTTCATTTTCTATTAAGAGCGACATTGACTTGGCGTATGGCCTAGCTGTATTCACTGCAATTATTTTACGTCATGTGGTGAATTTGAACACTAGGACCATGCAATGCGTCAGGATAATGGACCTGACAGTACTGGAGTAATTTATAAGAATGCATTTGAGCTGGACATTACTTTAGGTGTTTAGTGGTGGGGTTTGAGGAATCTTTGGTGAATTTTAGATGGTCGTTGCGATTTATTTTGCAAGCCTTCATTTGCCTACAATTTTGCTAGTGCATCGGTAGAAAGAACATCGAGTTGAAGAGAACTAGTGTTTTTTGTAACATTGGTATTTGTTTTCGTTGTAACACATCCCGCGAGGTGTTTTACGCGCTGCTCAATAGATTAGCAGGAAGTGAGGATATGATTCATGAAGCAGACAGAGCTGCTGAGTCCCTCACCTGATTTGGTTCTCGTTGTTAACTGAGAAAATCTGTAGCATGGACTTGATCTCTGTTGGTGAATGAGGACATTGAATTTGGTTGAACTATGACTCTTGCAACTGCTTGAATTTGACGCTGTTGGTATTGTGGGTTGTAGAAGAAGATTTATGGATAGCTAAAGAGGTTCGATCAGCCCAGAGTGAAAATTCAAGATGGGAAATTCTCGATCGGTCAGTGTGAGTGGAAATGGGGCCGAACATAATGGGGGACAGCTTTTTGTGTCCCTCAAATTACACAAATCTGATGGTCAACCCCTGCCTTTTAATGCTGTTCCTCATATCACAGGTTCATTGCCCATTGTGGGTCTATGGGATCCTGCCAAGGCTGTAAGTGTTTTTAATATTCTTATTCCTGGTTGCTGGCGTGTCTGTTCGATATGTTTTATGGATTTCATGAATAATGCATCTGTTATAAGCGTTTATTCTTCCATTATAATGATATGAGGTGTTGTTGATGTCTTTCTGTGTCATAAAGTTTTTTTTTTTTGTCGGCATGTTTAAATATCATTTTAGTAGGTAGGATACACTGTTTCACATGACGGGGTCGACGCACTTATAGCAGTGCCTATTTAATGTCATTAAACAGACAGCTATGGAGGGGGAATCGTCAACGGTTTGGGAACTAAGTTTCGTTGTGCCCTCTGATCACGGTATTCTCTAAATCCTTTAGTGGAATTCTCAGGAACATGCTTATTTGGTCAGTGGGTTGAGCTGCAAAACATATTCACTAGACCTGAATTGAACTCTGTCAACTGCAAAACATGTTCACTAGACTCACAGAACTTTTCCAGTGGTAGAGTAAAGTGGTGTTTCGTATGAATGTCGTTTAACCTGGCAGGTGAGTAAACCGTGAATTGGTATTGGATTGAACAGATACTCTAGAGTTCAAATTCGTTTTGAAGCCAACAGACAAAGAATGTGAGGGCGTCTTTGAGGAGGGCCCAAACCGGATTTTGAAAGCAGGTGTTATGTCCGGAGGTCCAGGGCCAATCGCCAAATTCATCCTTCCAAAGGAATACGGCGTGCAGATGCTCGAATTACCTGTTAGTGTCGCCACAGATCCGGTTTCTCCATTTGCACTTGCAGCCAGCTGGCGGGCACTAAAAAAAAACATTAAGCCATATGGAACCAGGGTTCTAGGCATTCCTGATGTATCACTTGACCAGGTTAGAGTTCTTAAATTTCATGCGTCTGGTTAGCGAGGGGTAGTTAAAGTTGTTATGCGTGAGGAGTTGAGTTCTTGTGAACTCTATGTATTTTCAGAAACCTCGCACAGTGTTACTCATGATGTTGTCCAGAGTTGCAAGGTTTTGAGGACCAGAAGATTTGTCCTAGATTTCTACAATGAGAAGTCGGGTGTAAATTGATATTTTATTCTTACTGTTTTCATGCTTGTAGATGTTGTCATTTCCATGACTACATTACATAACCATGATATGATTTTTTTCAGGCTTCCTCGAAAAGGTAGAGATTAACTTTGTTATGGAAGTAATCCTATGTTTATAATGAAAGTTGTTTATGGGAGGCGTAATTTTTTCACTAGAATTTTTTATTCACGATTGCCTATTCTTTTCCATGACTTGAGTTGAACTTTGTCAATTTATCTTTCAGGCTAACTCTTCACCAACTCCGACTGATCAAAGTGCGCAACACGCGCTTGAGTTAGATATAGAACATTATGAAGTTCCTCCTCCAGGCAGTGTCTTCAAGCACAGTGTATATGCTGCTGATGCAACAGAGTTTCCGCGAGGGAGCTTAGAACGTTCAACTTCTGTTCCGGAGCCGTTCTACGGAGAAAGTCGCAAGTACAAGCTGCGACAGGGTAATGCCAACCTACTTTCTAAGAAGGAGAATAACACTGACCGAACCGTCTCCGTAAAGGTATGTTTGATGTTCGTTTCTATGTCACACATAGTATATGTGTGCGTGTGTGTGTGTGTGAGGATCTTATTTTCGACAGCAGCATTTGCGAATCTATCCATAATTTCAAGCATAAACTTTCCCCGTTGACAGGGTGGATGAAGTTTATGAATTTCCAGCTGTTTATGTCTTTATGGAGCTACCACTCTGTTGTTTCGGTGCATCAAGTGGTCATGAAACTTCTTCTTTCAGGACCTGGTGGCACATGGAGATTCTGAATCTGTATCTGTGCAAGCAACGATACCTGAGGGTGTTGGAGCTCTAGAAGATTTGAAGTCATCACCAAAGTCTGTTCCGAGTAATTCACCAAGGATCATTGAGATAGGTAGCGACATGAGCCAGATTGAAGCACAGCTAAATGAGGACGCTGAAACAGAGGAATCAGGGAGATCTAAAGTAAGAATCTCATATACTGCTTTGAGGAGATTTGTTCTAGTCGTATGGACTAGAAGATCCTGCTGCTTATTCCAAGTTCAGTTCGGGTGAACAATTTTACAAATCGTAACGTCTTGATTTATCAATCTCCTCCATTGTTACTTCTTCCGGGTCTAGCATCACCTCACTTGCGCGAGCCGTGCTTAAAAATGAGCAACTTGTGGTGGTTTCCTCAGAGTATGCCTGAAGCAGCTGGGGCTGTTGCGGCAGCTGCAGTGGCAGATCGGCTTTTGGGAGCAAAAGAGCGGCGCCAGCTTGCGATCGTCCTGGTGAGTTTTAATTATTGGTGGAGAATGCAGTTCTTTGTTGAGGTCAGATGTGCTAATTATTGGCAACGGAGGCTAATTCAACACCATACGGACATAATTTACACCATATTTTCCTCATAGAATATTATTGAGAAACATGTGTTCTAGCAGACACTTCATGGAGTACATTACGTGGCTTCATCGGGGTGCCCATTATTATGGTTGGATATATTATCTTGCTGTAGCCAAGTTCTCAATATCAAGCTATGTTGGGAGTTGAACAAGTTCTAGTGACTACAGGTTGGGTTGCCGGCGCGTGGAAAGACTTTCACTGCAGCTAAGCTGACCCGATATTTGCGATGGCTAGGTCATGATACCAAGCACTTTAATGTCGGCAAGGTACGATTCGAGAGATCTGGGTATTTAGCTGGTGTTCACATTCTCAGCGTGTTTCTTCTTTTGGTAGCATAATTTAGGTCTGACTATGTTGCGTGTCCAGTATCCAAGTTCTTCCTTCAAATTTTAAAATTCTTGCACTACAGTACTTTGACATCGCTTGCACTTTTGACGTTTACAGTACCGGCGGCTGCAGCTTGGTTGTAATCAGGTACCAATCTATCCCTTAAACACATCTATGTTCATTTTTTTCTGGGATGGTACAAGTAGCCAAACTTGTGTTAAGTACTGATGATTTAACATTGTGTGTCCCACGTATCAGAGTGCAGACTTCTTTCGAGGTGATAATCAAGAGGGTATTGATGCCCGAAATGAGGTACTTATGACTCTCTGATTGACCTGTTATGGTGATTATTTAGGTGGAATTTGTACCCACATCTTTGGTTGTTTATATAGATTCGCTCCGAGGTAGTTTGTAATGTTCTGCTGGTTGGGGTGGGCTGCAGGTGGCTGCTTTAGCAATGGAAGATATGCTTGCCTGGATGGAAGAAGGTGGTCAGGTGTAATATACTGCAATTCTTACCAATTTCGATTAGTCAATCTAAGTTAATTCAAACACAATTTTGGGACTAGTGTTTTGATTGTCCAGCAGGATACTAGGATATTTTTAACCAAGCAGGCGATCGACATTTCTACGAGTTTTTATTTTATTTTAGTTCAGTATGCTTTTTTAAATCGTTGTGTTGCATGAGCAGGTGGGCGTGTTTGACGCTACGAACAGCACAAATGCACGTCGAAACATGCTTATGAAGTTGGCAGAAGGAAAATGCAAAGTAAGTTCTGTTAATTGTGAGCTGGAGAAGTGCCGCGTTCGATGAAAGAATGGTGGAGTACATGTACTAGGACGCCTTTGCAATGTTTCTTTTACGTGAGGTTCAACAACTCTTCGAAAACAATGAAGTTTAAAAAATCCTGTTGATTTTAAGTCAAATACATGTTTGACCTGTGTTAAGATGATACCTGAAATACAAGCTTCTTTCTGCTGTTATGTTCAGATAATCTTCTTGGAGACTATATGCAATGATCGGGCAATGATTGATACCAACATTGAGTTGAAGATCCAACAGAGTCCCGATTATGCAGATATGTAAGTTCAGTTATGGACTATTTGTACCTTTGGGCATAATTCTCTAAACCCATAAATCTTACTGGTCGCACATACGTAGTTGAAGCAGCATGGAAGACTATCCTTTTTTCCGATTCAAGAACTCAGTTTTTTCTTGCAACTCTTTGTGCCCCCGTACCACCACTGTCTCATTCTTACTCATTATCATTCTTTACATACCCTCATAAATTTTAAAACTTGCTGTTTTGTTTTTGTCAGGACTGATTATGAAGTCGCTCTTCAAGATTTCAAAGCTCGTCTCAGCAACTATGAGAAGGTAAACTTTGTAGTTACTTTTTAGACATCTGGATTGGGGACATTGGGACGAGCTTTTTAGTATGCTATGAGCACATAACCAATATTGGGGCATATAGTAGCCTCTGAAGCTATTTTCATTTAGATAATATCTAAAATGTGTTGCTATCCAGGCATTTCCCATGTACTGTCCTTTGGCAATTCCATACGGTTCTAAATGCTTTTAAGTTCTAGGTTTTTTCTTCGGTTTGTAAGATGTTTGTGCAAAGTTCTATGTTTTGTTTCTACCTCAGTATTTCACTTGGTTCTTCATGTCCTGGAAAAAGGGTTGAAATGTTTCAAAATTTTGCACTATGACTCAGAGTTGAACCTTCTATCCGTAGAAATAGTATGTTATTTTTCATTATCTTGTTTACTTAGAGTTCTTTTAATCTAATGCAGATGTATGAGCCAGTAACTGAGGGTTCCTACATAAAGATGATCGACATGGTCAGTGGGAGAGGAAAAATGGAGGTGAGTATTTTCAGTTTGCAAATCAACAGATTCAATTGTTTTGAGTTGCAAAAGCACTATTTACTACTTTGCAGTTGAGGAATATAGATGTAGGAGGTAACTAGAAAGAGAGATGCTAACCGTATAATTGGTTGCGGTTGTAGGTGAACAGCATCAGCGGTTACCTTCCTGGTCGCATTGTATTTTTCCTGGTATGTTGTAATCAGCGCGGGGCTCCTTGCTGATTTACTGCAACGTTAATTTCTTCGTTATGGTCTAGAAGCCAGCTTTGCAGTGTTCTTGGGGCTATCAGCTTGTATACTGTCGTATTGAAGTTGAGCATGTCCTGCAGGTAAACACACATATTACAGCCAGGCCAATTCTATTGACTCGGCATGGTGAAAGCCAGGACAATGTTAGGGGGCGTCTTGGTGGTGACCCTCCACTCAGGTATTCTTTGGGTTTCCTAACATACCCATATGAGGGGAGAAACACTGTACTTTATTCATGTCGATTATCTTAAGCAGTTTGAGACATTTGGGTATGTCGTTGCTTTCGTGTACTGACATTAAGGTTGTTTACTTCAGCTGTTCCAATTGATTTTTATGCTGATTTAGAATATTTTATTCCATACGCTCATTAATTTCTGCTCTTGGCTTACTCAGCGAAGCAGGAGAGAAATATTCTCTTAAGTTAGCAGATTTTGTGCACAAGCGACTGAAAAATGAGCGCACGGCATCTGTAAGTTTGGGATACGCTTCGCTGTCCATGTGTGATATGTGTTTGTGCCGCTATGGATGGCCTTTTGTTATTTTAATGCAAGCATTCTTCTAGTAATGCCCTCTGCTATTTATCTTCAACGATGATTGATTCTAGAAGTAGCGATGATGTTGGCAATTGGCAGCATTTTGAGGGTCCTGAAATGTCGGTATAGACTTTGACAATAGTGCTTCCTGCGTGCAGATTTGGACCAGTACTTTGCAAAGGACTTTATTGACAGCACGTCACATCGTTGGTTTTCCGAAGGTACGTTTACAGTACTGTATCCCGCAAAGAAATCTCCTTCGTATGCTATGTGAAATCTTCTGTGCAGTATAGCTCTAATATTCGCGTTGTATCCAGTGCACCTGGAAACACATTCACAACGTTGAGCTAACTATCTTCGCATTAAAGTGATACAATATGATATTCATGTATTAACAAGTATTCATTATTAGGTGCAATGGCGAGCATTGGATGAGATCAATTCTGGTGTTTGTGATGGTATGACATATCTAGAAGTCAAAGAAACCATGCCTGAAGACTACTTGTAAGTAATTCTCATCTTTAATTTATGTGAAGTGTATCAATTAAAGGATCTGCGGTTATTATAAAACTTTCCGCAGAAGAGGATACTTAATTACCTGGCACGTATCAAACAAGAACCGTACAACCGTGTGACTCTGTCCCGTATTTATTTGTTATGATTAATTTTACCATTGTAACGAATATAACAAATACTATGGATACAATATGATACAATGTGTCATGAGTTGATTTTAGGTCTGAGATACACATCTCTAAACAATGTGGAGGTAATTAATAGTAATAAGCACGTTGTTTCTTGATTGAGGATGCTCCCACAACCACATGATGATGAAAATGTGAAGATAATTATGGTCCAAATCGACATCTAGTGGGAAGAGGGTTGAAGATAAGAATCGGACCTAAAGGAGTGAGAAGTTGATGGGTGATCTCTGCTCCAGGGTAGACATCCTAAAAAACTCTGTAGCAATGTGAAGTTTATCTGGTCATTGTAACGCTTCAATGCTACGATTGCACACTTGCTCTTTTGAAATCTGTTTAAGTTGTCTGATTTGAATGAAACTACCAACTTTGGCTCTTCAGATAAAATACCTTTTCAAACACAGTTTCACCGACGTATTTCATAAACAGATGTTGGATCTTCGTAGGATCTGTACATCTAAAAGCGTTAAATGTTCGGCAGAAGGAATGCTGGCAACCATCTTGTCGTGATGAAATGTCGCAATTAATTTTACTCCTGATCTTAAAAAACTTCTTAATGGAGTAAAGGGATGAATTTAACTGGATATTTTCACAGGGCTCGGAAGCAAGATAAACTACGATATAGATACCCGCGAGGGGAGTCTTATTTGGATGTCATACAAAGGTACATAGGGGAACTTTTTAATTACACGATTTATCGTACGTGCCAGAAAACTCCTCATTTTCTATTGTTATTATTATTATTTTAATCCGAAAGGATGTCTAGTAGTTGCGTATTGTAGCCGTATTTTTGTCTTGCATGTAATGAAATTGCATGGCTGCTCTTTCTTTTTTGAAGCAACTAATTGTTTGCAAACTTTGGGATTGGCTTGTAAAGGTTAGAGCCAGTGATTATTGAACTTGAGAGACAGCGTTCGCCTGTAGTTGTCATTGCGCATCAAGTAAGTTATCTCAGTACCAACTATCCAATGAGTCATCTCAATTCACTGTGATCATTGCAATATCCCAGTTAGCGTCTCTAATCCAAATTATGTGCATCAGCAGCATGTATAAATGATGGATGGATAAATAATATTCGTAATGATAGAATCTGTTTCCATGTTGGTCTGTACATATGATTTCTATCTTCCTCGATACAGGCAATTCTACGCTCTCTATATGCGTACTTTGCAGACAAACCTCTGAAAGAGGTACCGCATATTGAGGTACTATCCAGTTCCCAGTTCGCTTTTTTTCGCAGCGGTAGGAAAAAATGTAATGGAATTTGTAATCTGGTTTCCCTCTCAAATTGGTAGTTTCTGCATGTAGAGAACCATGCTAACCCGTAGCATACTTTTCCTTGATATCGAATTGTTTCTGCTATTTGCGGTCTTGTTCACGCCGTTTGCATTTTCAACATACATAACTAACTCATTCACAATTCGATTTGCACAGATGCCACTGCATACTATTATTGAGATTCAAATGGGAGTTACTGGTGTTCAGGAGAAGCGATACAAGCTCATGGAGACCCAGAGTACGTCCCGTGAGCCGGATCTGATGATAAATAGTTTCTTGTTTACGTCTTCGTACTGTGCATTTCGTTGTACATATATCGTTGTCGTCACGTTTGTCAGTCGTTTGCTGGGGGATTTAAGAACAAAGAGTTGAGTAGTAGCTAAGACTTTTTCTTAAACACGTTGACTGCAGTACCCAAAGCATGGTTTCTACATGGGCAACTTTTTCTTTTTTACTTTCAAGATTATGGTTTTTCATGCAAAGAAATGTTAAATGAGAACCGTTGAACTGGATCCTCAGAGAAAGCTTTAACTCGATTTTTTTCTGTGCAATGGCAGGCACCAAATACGGTGAATTCCCATGAGTATGGCAGTCCTAAGCAGTTTTCTCTAGCAATTTACGACTCCAACGACGAGCTTTCAAACAAGCCATGTAGTTTTGAGGACCATAGGAAATGCTTGATAAACTTAATGAAATCACAGCAACCTGCTATTCGAATTTTATTTTGTGCAGTAATTACATAGGAAATCATTTCATTACTGAACTTGATTTTACATCATGGCTTTCTATATTCTAGTATTTACTTTGCGTGCACTCCGCACTATTTCGTGGGATAGAATCAGTATTCTTTTGTATCATTATTCTAGAAATTTAAGTAATGCAAAACATGCGTTTAAATTTGGAACCCATCTTTATTGAGCTGTGTGTGCGGAACTCTGACATGGAAGACTGATATTTTTTGTTCTGATGCAGTGTTAATTCCTGTAAATTATTCCAATGGAGACTGACTAATATTTATTAGTAGAGAAAAGTATCATAACATTAAATTACTACTTTAGTCATTTTCACTGCTTCCCGAAAGAAAAGTCCTTCAGCGATCATGGTTGAAATATGGTTAGATGGTTAAAATTTTGGATTGAAATATTTTTGCAGCAAGTTTGTAACATGTATATTTCAAAATAATTAACACATGGTTGCAATTAAGCTTTAATGTATTTTACCTCAGCATTCTCATCCATTAAAGTGGGTTTCTTTCTTTAAATTTCAATTTATTATTTCATTTTCAGTTATTTACTTTTTAAATTTATAACTGATCCTATCTAAGAATCTGTATACAACCAAATCACTTAGAGTATTCTAATAATATATATTTATAATTATTATTGACATTATTTCTCATAATGGTTCAATATGCAACTTGTCTATAAGGAGCCTACAATTTGGCTTATGTAAAATATTGAATGTATTTATCAGTATAGGCTCAATTAAATACAACTATTTATAATTTTAACTTGTACATAATGATTTATTTTAATAATATTTTTAAAATATTGTTTTAGCTGTAATTGTGTTCTTTTGTATTTTTTTTATTGTTAGTACAAAGCTGTAGCTTATTATAATATATTAGCATGAATTTCTAAATTAGTTAAATAAATTAGATTTTTTTTTAATTCACAAAAATAGATATTAGTTGTTATGGTTTTAAATATCTTTTAATTTGATTTTTTTTTTTTTGTATAATATTTTGTGAGGAAATATGAGGCAGTATATTAATAAGATAGAAGCTTAATGATGCAAATACAAAATGAGTTTACTACCTAACCAAGGAGGATTCAAGAGAACTAACCACATAAAGTGAGCCTTAGCTTTGAGAACTTATAGCACAAGTTTATAGTCAAATGAAAAGTACTTTTTAATACAAACACAATAATAATAGCTTATCACCAAGGTCTATTTGACTTCAGGATAATTCTTTTATTAGCCCATTTATGACTATTTGGTGGTAAGACCAACTTATAGTGGCTATAAGTTGTCAATCTGTAATAATCTAATATCAACCATCCACATACTAGTCAATTACATAATGTCTAATAGGAATTATATATGTATCTAAACACTCTTTTAATACTCCCACTTAATGATATGTTAAATTAATCCGATTTGATAATTCTCATTATCTTCTTAAATTTATAATTCTCATAAGTTAAACCTTTGGTCAAAACATTTGCAGCCATGTGTTGAGTTCTATAAAAAAAACCATCATTCGAAGTATTTCTATTGACTAAAATAAATTGTATAATTTTATTGATCACTTACGATTTGCATGTTCAAGATATAATGGATTTTTCCCAATTCTTTCATCTCAAATCTTATGTCTAAGTGACTCTTTATTTTTAAAAGAAGTTCCTTATTATTACAGACTATGATCAACTCATCTACATATAATGCAATAATAATAAATCCATTTGGATTCCTCAATACATAAATATTAAAATTTCATGGCTCTTCTTTAAACATTGTGAGACAAAGTATTTATTTATTTATTTATTTTTTAAACCATACCATTTAAGATTGCTTGAGTTTGTATAGACCTTTAACAAACTTATAAACCAAAGATTCATTATGTTTCAAGATGTAGCTTTCAAGTTCCTCCATGTAAATCTCCTCTTTAAGTTCTCCATTTAAGAATGTCATCTTTACATTTGTTTAATGAACTTTCAAATCTTTAATTGTAGCAAGTCCAAGAGGTATACAAATTGAAGTCATTTTTGCTACTAGAGCAAAAGTTTTATTACAATTAATATCTTCTTTTTGCACATAACCTTTGTCAACAAGTCTAATCTTATAACACTCTATTAAACCATTTGGGTTATATTTAATCTTAAAAATATACTTGCATCTAATAAATTTTCTACCTACTGATAGAGATGTCAAAGTTTACATCTTATTATTAATAAGACTCTAATACTCTTTATCTATTACATCTTTTTTTTCTATACATCAATCCTTTTCATAGCTTTAGTGAGAGTAATTGATTCTTCAATGCTTGTATAAAAAGCATGTGCTATACATACTAAAGATATGAATGATTTAGACATCATCTAAGTTAATGTTGATCGATCAATCACTTGTTTATTTGCCACTTCATGTGCTTGTAAACAAATTAACATAAGCAAATTACTTAAAAGCTTTGGATGTATATTCACCACTATTTTCATTATGCAATTTTTGAATCTCCAAGTTTTTTTTTTTTTTTTTTTTTTTTTTTTTTTCATCTAAAGTCATAAAGATCTTAATTTGTTTTTTTGAATTTTAACTTATGCTTCATAAAATATATATATATATATATATACAAGTTGAACCTATGTTGTTGTCATGGAAAGAATGACTATATTTTTTAAATTTCTAAATTACTATATTTCTATTAAGCTTGTAAATAAATAAACTATTCAATATTTTTAATATTTTTTTAGAAAAAAAGAAAATTCAAATAATTTACTAATAAATAAAAAAAATAAAAATATATGTATTGTATATGCAAATATAGGTATTGTATATGCATATATATGCAAATATAAGTAGTGTATAATATTATTTCTAAAGAAATAATAATCTCATTTAAAAATATTTTGATGTTGTTAGTCATGTTTAAAATATAATTTAAATTAATTTTATAGATCTTGTAATAATTATTAATATTTTAATTAATTTTCTTTAAAATCCCTATATCACTATTATCCATTTCTAAGCTAAATGTCATAACTTCAACATTCCAAATTAATTGTTCAATTTTTCTTTTGCAAGGCCAATTTATATTACATTTTAAAAAAATCAAAAGTTTAATTTTTTAGAGAATAGATAAAAATTTCACTATTCAAAATTAGATGATATCAATGTTAATATTATGTAAATACAAAACGTTTGTAACTCTTATATTATAATTTTTAAATCTGAAATTTTGCAAATAATTTCAGCATCCAAAGTTGTTGTTTTGGTTGTGGCCAAATAACTAGCAAACTTTTGTAAGAATCCATCCAATTTTCCACTTTGCAACTTCATCTAGATTTTTAAAGAAGTTCAATCTCAAATTCTTATTAAATCCGTGAAAAAAGGAATGATTCAAAAGATGTATGTGGTGTTGTATTTTGTAAAGTTTGCTTGAGAATACACTAGGCACTTGGCTGTGGAAGATAAAATGGAATTTGTAACAATTAGATCTTAACAATCCTAATTGAATCCTAAATAAACTCCAATTAAATTATAACAATATTAATCAATCTTTAATTAAATCCTAAAAGAAGTCTCAAAGAACTTCCCAAAAAAACATAAAGAAATTATAATTAATCTTAAAAGAATGTGTATAATAAAAAAATCATAAAAATATATCAAAGAAATATTTTTAAAATACTAAAAATAAATAACCTAATTGAATCTTAATCAATTCCTAATATAATATTCAACAAATCCTAAACAAATCCTAATAAAATCTTAAATAAACTTTAACAAATCCTAATTATATCCTAATAAAACTCTAAATAAATTGTAATCAAATCCTAATAAAATCTTAATAAAATTCTAACCAAATCCTAATAAAATCCTAAACACTAATTAAATCCTAGTCAAATCCTAATAAAATCTTTATCAAATCTTAAATATTAATTAAATCTTAATCAAATTCTAATCAAATTTTAGATTCTAATCAAATCCTAAATAAATTCTAAAAAAATCTAAAAAATCTAAAATAAATCTTAATCAATTATTATAGTTGTTTTGAAACCTTGATAAATATTAATTGAATTATTTATTTTGATTAAAATTTCATCTAGACCTTAATCTACAAGCAATTAACAGTTATATAAAATTTGAAAAGAATTGAATTCACCAATTGAAAGAAAAGCTCTCAAAATCTCTTGGATATTGGCCATCTTCCTTCTCCAACTTAAATGTTGAACTTCCAGTAAAGATTTCTTATTGCTAAATCGTTTAAACAATGATAAGAAGATGAGAGGAGTCAAGACTTGAATACCTATGCACTAGCCTATTTAAGCCTTGACTCCTCTCACGAATTTTCACTTCAATCAAATTAGCACATGCTATAAGATTACAAAAATCCTTACAGACCCTAAATTTCAATTATCTAAGTTCATAATCCACAAAAACTCTCACAATCTTTAATCTAACTCTTCAACTAACATCAAATTTTTTACACATTTAAAAAAACAAAGTGAAAAACTAACAAATTTTTACTCATAAATATGCTAAATTATTTACAAAATCATCAAATTTATAAACTTCTTTTTATTTCTAAAAATCCAAATTCTTTGAATAAATCTTTCTTTTTTAAAATCTCTCAAATCCTCAATATATCTTCAAATTATATGAAATCAACTTTCAAAAATTCTCTCATAAGTTTGCTCTCAAATTACATTCTTTAATCAACCAAAGAACCCTAGAATTATCATAGGTGCATATTTTTGTGCCTTGGGATCTGATTTTGACATTGGTTCACAACCAACCCTCTTCAAATATCAATTCGTAGTATTTGAGGTAATTTTTATTAGAATCTATTCTTAGTTTCTTCCTAAAGATGCCCATATTAACTATTTATCTTATTTATTTTGATTTGGCTCATTTATGCTCCTATAAAGTAAGTAGAAGTCTCTTCAAAAAGAAGGCAACATTAACACTTATTAATTTTTACTACCTATTTGTCTATTATCTATATTTTAAAGAAAATTTGCTAAAATAATTTCATTTAAGCTCTTCTATAATACACACACTCACACACACACACACACACACACATGTATATATATATATATATATATATATTCTTTCACCTAATGGCTGTGTTATCACATTACAACAATTTACTATAGACATGGTCATGGTGCCAAATTCATTCTTG